CAGATGCTGGAGCGTGCACCCCTCCTCAGGAATTCTGCCTACTTCATTCCTCACTGCAGATGCTGGGGCCTTGGGACTGTTTCCCCCATAACCTCACACACTTTGAGAACTGCTCTTGAACCATTTATAACTTGCTCTGAGGCTGAGTATTCCGTACCTTTTCATTCCTTCCCTCTCACATAAGTGTAACCCTTGTGACATACTGGGTAGGGCGCTCAGTTCCAAGCAGAGTTTGTGAGGCCTACAGGTCACAAGCTCCTTGCTAGATGCCAAGTGAGAGGTGGTATCATTTGCCTTCATGGCACAGTGAGCTGGAGAAAGTTCTTCCATTTGTTTCCCCAGGCTAAGCACAAAAAACGTAGTTTCTCTTCACGGACAAAGGCCTCTGTGCGTCTTTTGAAGTGGAGATCATAGAAGCATTGGAAAGCGTCTGGGTCAAGCCCTCTCCAGAACTGATTGGAGAGCACACAACCCACACTCTGGCTCTGTGACCCTTCGATGACCTTCCCTGGCTTGTGACAGCTTGTTCCAGTCTCACGGACTGTGCACATACCCCTGATGGTATCAAAGTATCCTTCTTAGTTCCTCTGCTCTTGGCAAACACTGAAACCACTCCAACTAGTGCTGTCCATTTTCAGCAAAGCCTTGAATCTCCTGAGGTCACCCCTCACTTCCTCCCTTTCTGGGACATTCCAGATGAAGGAACAGGAAAAGGTGAGGAGCATGGTTGTCACACAAAAGACCCACAAGAGGGTCTGCAGCAGTTTTCTGCGTGATCTGCTCTCGATGAATATCATGGGAAGTCTTCACCCACAGTTCCTCCCTGCATGCTCATATTTCAGGCCTCCATTGAAAAGCCAGCAACTCTGGGCAGCCTACTTTGGAACAGGTCCTGTGCCCTCTTGTTCCTGCATATTTAAAATCTTTTTTTTTTTATAGCCAGACTCTCTACAATCAAACCATAATTCTCTTGAAGGATGAAGTCATGATTTCTTTGTCTTTGTACTGCTACACTGTGGTTGATCTGTGATACATTGTATAGAGCGCCTCAGAGTGCAAAGCTGGGGAGCAGACAGACACCTGCCCGTTCAGAGGAGGATTAGGTCATGAGGCTGAAATGCCTGGGCAGCTGTTCTGGAAGGATCTGAGTGTGTTGGTAAAGACTGGCGGTGGGCGGGGAAAAACACTCTACACTGTGGCAATAGTGAAAAGTCACTCAAAAGAGCGGTCAACAGACAAATTCAGCTGCAACAGCAAGATTAACACCGATGCAATATTGTTCTGAATTTATTGTTGTTCTAATTTGTCAGTTGGCCCAACAAGGGTATATTATGGTATATTTCCCCTCTAAGTCAGGGTCAGTGTCTCTTTAACCTGGACTATTTCCATAGTCTTTCAGTAAAGAAGGTTTTGTTTGTTTGTTTAAGACTTATTTTTATTTCATGTGTCTAGGTGTTTGGGCTGCATGTCCGGCAGTGCTCACAGAAGACGGTGTTGGATCCCCTGGAACCGAGGTCCTCTGGAAGAGTGGGCAGTGCCCTTAACTGATGAGCCATCTTTGTATCCCATTGGCAAAGAAGTGTTAAAAAGGGAGATTTAGTCATTTATGGTGGGATATAACTTCAGCACTTGGGAAGCAGAGGCAGGAGGATTGCTGTGAGTTTGAGACTATCCTTAAGTTGGCTCACAAAGCAAGTTCTAGGTAAACCAGGACTACACAGCTGTCGCAAACCAAAGCATGCCAACAACCCCTCAGCCCTAAATAGGGCTTCTACATCTTCCCCTCCAGTGCCGTGGAAAGTATAAGAGCTGGAGGCCAGAAGGGACTGGGGAGTGGGAGAAGGTAACAGGGATAAACTTGGTAGTGAGCAATAAAAAAGAAATGGAAAAACAAAACACCCACCTATCTCACCAAAAGAAGCTCCCCTCCCCTTTTAAGTAGCCTTTAAAAAAAGGTTTATTGATTTTTATTTTATGTGTATGAATATTTTACCTGCATGTACCTGGTACCCACACAGGCAAGACGAGGGCATCAGATCCCCTGGGACTG